TCTAGTATGGTAGCCACGAACTGTAGGGTAACAAAACAACAAACAGCGGTATTTTCTGTCTTATTGCGAAGAGCACTGTGACCTTTCCGCAGACCGCCATATCCAAAGACTTTGAGCGTTAAAAACCAAAAGGTCAAAACTTTCCACTCTTTTCGCATCTTGATTGTTTTCGTTAATTAAGAGAAAGTGCAGGAACTTTGCGGAAGCGATCACATTTTTAAACGCAACAGTTAACAGTGTTTAGTGAATGCCGTTGCAGTGCAACGGTAGCACCGCTAGACAACAAACGGTTTTGCAACAGTACTTGGTCGACACGACTGTAAGCACTCCATATGGTAAAAAATATGACGAGAGACAGAACGTTTGCTCAGCTGCCTTAATTTTCATGCCACACTTTGCGGAAAATAATCCACATTTTCTGCCAGGATCAACGTGACCTGCCAGTTTTGACCCGTGAAGTAACCTTGAAGAATCACCTGATCATGATTGTTAAAAGGCATGGCTTTACCATTGCATGGCCGTTGCTGACGAGAAGCACTCACTGTTTGTATTATCCTAAGCATTCAAAGGTAGATTGACTCACGTCGTCACTACATCGTCACTAAGATATTGTACTTTTTTATGTTGTTGGTCGATAATTTTAATACTCGGTTATGTAATACTGGACACTTGGCCTTGAACGATCTATATTCTGTTAAAAAGCTACGACGACGAGTATACTCGCAGAATCGTAGCCGAATGTTGCAAGCCCATACGTATGTAGATCCGTAGAACTGGCTTTTTCTACACTTAATTTTTTAAAGCGTTTATTTTTACCGTATAAAGTATATAATGGTATTGGAGAGCTAACTGCCATGCACCGCAACAAGTTAACACCTTGTACGCGCAATGAATAGCGGGATTAAATAATTTCTACAGGATTCAAATTACATTTTTTTACAATAAATAATGACAAAGAAATATGTAATATATTAATAAATACAATAAATAACACAAAAAAATATCATGATAAGTAATATTACGCAAAACTCGTTTTAAAATGAAAAATGTTACATATGAAAATGAAAAGGTATGTGCTGCTTCTGCGGGGCGTTTTTGGTATGCTGTTATTTTTGGATCCTTGTTCTAATATCAGAGAGGTCAAGTAACTTTTACGTTGACGCTTTTAGATGCCTTTGTATGTATAAGGTGGAATGCAGTATATAACTGAATTACAGTCATGAGTACTTCTACGTGGTTCACTTAATGAGGCGCGGTTGAAGGCATACAAACTTCTATAAAGAAATTTTACTTTTCTGCAAAAAATCTGCCCTGTGAATGGTTATGATACCATTGATTACGGCATCATGCAAATTGAACCCGACATTTGGATGGTCAATGCCGGGGTCGTGTGCGTCAGTAACGAAGCGGATTAATGGTTTCCTGTTGCTCAGGTGGAGATGAAAAAGTCAGGGGATGCATTAGCCGGCGAATTACTGTGCGCCGCGGCCGGGTGAATGGGGCCACGTACATCACGCTCCACATCAGTGGCGGATATGACGATGAGATCGCCGGCTGATCCCTGTCAATGGAGATTCCGGATGACAAACAGCGCTGCGTCTATAAAGGTAGCTTCCATCGACACCTGGCGTTCAGTTGTCAGTGCTGCGGTGGAGTGCTATATTAAGCCTATACTTGTCTCGTTACCTTGACGTTTTAACATTCACATACAACTTAAGCCCAGCGCTATCTACCAGTGAAGATGAACTGCATAATTCTCCTGGCTGCCTCCAGTGTGCTGTTGGCACAGCTTGCATCAGCGTACATGGTACCTTACTCGATGGCCTTCACACATCCTGGACGAGACGATAAAGGTGAGAATTTATCAGCAGCAAATTTTAACCGAGTAGACCAAGCGGAAGCTCTTTTGCAAAACGTATTTCTCACACCTAGCTCAATAATTATATTACACTCGTATAATACTACAGTATACTGCTTTTGGAAGCCGTAGAAACTTGGCAGAATTAATGATTAATTAGAAGAGTAACTAACGATGTCGATGCTTTCGCAGATAATTTTAAAAATTCTTAGTTATTTGATCGAATTATTTATACTTAGTACGGTTACCATCGAGTTACAATGTCAATGAAATAATACATCCAGGCATCGGCTTAAGGGGCTATTTTTAAGTTTGGCTACGCAAACAGTAACCTTTCTGTGAAAGCTTGTACCGTTTCTTTGAAAGCTGAATTGTTGCTGCGTTCTTTTGCTTTCTTGACGGCACAAAACGGACAAAAGGAGCCCAGTAAATCATATCCGTTAATTCGCTTAACGAATACGTCTACTAATATGTAGATCGGGCGTGCGTATGTCCAGGTTCGGATGAAACAATCGGCAGCATTCAGGATATTCTGCAGAATACACCAGGGTTTTAGATAAGCATGGTGAACGTTAAGGTCAGGGTTATTGCAGACAAATTAGCTAGGTGGTAAAATCATGCTGATATTGGCGCTCAGTCATGTGGTCCACCTACGCAAACAGGAAGAAATCCGGGACCACAGGGCGAGTTCACAGTGGGAGATATGGTGTAATTAACATATAGAAAAACTTACTTCCCGTCTGTGATCAGTAATCAACGCCACACGTTCCTGTTGCATGGAATAAATTGTGTATCTTGCTGTGTTCTTTTACGTGCTGTGCATGTATTATCCTGTAGGGCACCCGCTCAGTTTACAGTAATTAACGACAAGGCAGTTTCGGCATACCGCTAAATTATGGTATAATCCATAGTTGCATCAGAATTATACACTTGCATAACTAAAAATTCTGCAGCACACTCCAGTAAAGCGTAAAAGGATATCCTAAAAATACCTTTACGAAACGCTTTTTGCTGCTGGTGCCGATGTCAAAGCTAAAAAACACCGCTATGATTTAAGAGCATTTGTATGAAACCGTTTTACATTACTGCACTAAAACGTAGCTAAAGTTACACCGACAATGCAGGAAGTTTTTACAATAGCCGCTCCCACAGTTTAGTCAACAGTTTCTACACCGGCAGCTTTAAAATCAGTTCAGCGAAGAAACTAAATGCTGCTATGGTGTGATAATAAAATAATCGAGTACTTTTTATTTGTGTAGACAGAGCCGGTAGTTCATCCAGAGAGGATCCGAAGAACACTTTGGGCAGTAAACGTCTCAACAACAATTCCCCGCTAATGGACTGCGCGTCCCATGTGGATTGCCGTCTCAAGTTATTGGATTACTTCGATCAACTGCGCAAGATGTCGAAAAACGGATAAACCTGTCGCTCCTGCATGACCGCGTTCGCCATTGACCATTGTTCCCCAGCGGTGACCGGGAAAGTTCCTCTTGTTGGCATTCGCCGAAAATATCTGTACTATCGCGCCGGGCGTTACTCGCACAAAACCAGACACCAATGTTGTCGACCTCGTGGCAGGTCAATTTCACAGTCTTGGCTTTCAGTTTCCGAGTAAAATATCGCTGTGTTCCCTAAGTAAAAAATGTGCTTTTTTGCCGGTACATGTAATAGTGGAGTGTCTGTTCGCCTTGTTGATAGAGTTTACCATTACTTGCATTTCCGTCGTTCGGTCATTCGAAAAGTGCAATAAACACGCAGACAGCATACTGAGCCCTGTGATGTAATGTTGCGCAATGTGAACGTGCTACATTAACGTCTCTTCAATTTTAAGTTAGAAAACCATTACATGATTCACGGTTTGTTTCTTAACTGGCTTTCGATGGAATGACTGTCAAAAGGTCAAGCTACTTAGCGCGCTATGGAAAGACATGCGCACGTAATACTGGCATGATAAAGTTAATTTCTTCAAGGCAGGGCGTTGTGCGTCAACGCCTTATACATCGTAACCTTTACAACAAGGACTCATATAAATGATATAATGTTTTCTCCAGTTACACTGTATCTGGCTGACAGTGGCTGTCATTCGCTGATCAGCAGCCACCTTGTAAAAGCAGCAAATTGTCTGTATGCGAAGTAATCGTATTATTGAATTCAGTGGCAAAACCTTACTGCTTAAGAGCAGATGGCAAAAATAACCGTAATAATACTTACTATTCAATGATAACTTTCAAAATATGAGATTCAGATTGTGTCACAAGACAAAATTGCTTCATAAAAAATGTTACGCTTTATCCAATCGCTCTAAACACATATGGTTATGTCTATTAACAATGTTATTCTTTTTGTGGATTACATTTACATTTAATTCATTGTAAGAAGAAATGCGTAACTGAAGTATTTTGCTGTTATTTACGTTAAGGCAAATGGCAATTACAGGTAGGTGACGGTTGTTTACTGAAACTGTCAGGCATGACAAGGTCAGGGAAATGGTAACGCGTATTACTTTATTAATCTGACTGCGCATATTCAAATGCAAGGTTTCCTTGTGCGCACAGCTAGACATATTCGTGTCACCGGTAGCACAACCGTCAAACTACCAAGGGCGGCGATCAGTACTACTAGCAATGGTACTGACTGGAGAAATCACGTGAAATTTCTCATTTTCACCCATTGTTTACTACTGTTTGCGTCCAAGATAATACTGAATTAAGCCGGCGTTGCATCTACTGCGTTGTGGCGGTTGTCATCCAATTTTTCATCTACTTGTAAACACAATAAGCATGTCCCATGACATTGTATTAAAAACTACAGACTCATAGCATGTATAAAAATGGTTCTATGATAGACTGTGTTGCTTTTATGTCGTGCACTCCTGCAGAGCACACTGTGTACGGTAACTATTAACAGGTACTTCTTCGGTACAGTTGCCGTTCAGTTAAAATCTAATCGCCGGCTGACGATCGTCTGGAGCGTAAAGACGGTAACTATAAACAGTACGCTTCCAATGACAGAGCAGAAACTTTCTAGTGCAGGAAAGTGCTGTGCTCTTTGCCTATTCGGTTTAGGAGTCATTGAAATATAAATTCAACCCGGAAACAATTGCGCGCAGAGCGTACATACTGTCACAATATTACGTTGGAATATGGAGCGCTGGAAAGGACGAACCGCACTGGTCACCGGTGCATCATCCGGCATCGGGTACGGTGTCGCCGATGCGCTGGCCTACAGCGGAATGACCGTGATTGGATGCGCACGCACTACGGACAAAATTCTGGAAAGTTTGCCTTATAATTTCACTAGCAGCTGGAATAATATATCTGTGGTTATGACAGGAATTGGCGAAGAAACATGCAAATGGTCCTGGAAACGTGAATGCCATTAAGTGCGATGTTACTAACGAGAATGAAGTCCGCGCAATGTTCGAGCATATCAAGAAACAGTATAAACATATCGACGTCTTGATTAACAATGCCGGACTGATCAAGCTGGATTCCTTGGTAGCGGGTCGAACAGAGAAATGGCGTGAAATGCTAGAAGTAAGACCAGCATTATTTACTTTTTAAATTGGTATGTGCATTTGCAGAAATGGCATCCTCTCAGTAATAACGACAATCACAACTATGGTTACATAAAGATGGTCATCACAGGTTAACATCATGGGATTGTGCATGTGTGCACGGGAAGCGTTGAAACTTATGCAAGAAGATGGAATCAGTGATGGAACCATCATCAACATTAACAGGTAGATTCTCGGCTATTCGCATGACATTTCTTTCGGTTAAAAACGCATCTCCAGCTAATAATCATAAACCTAGTAAAATACTTGTCACTTGTCAACAACGATGTATACATTATACTATAGTATAATGTATACATTATACTAAAGTATAATGTATACATTATACTAAAGTATAATGTATACTTGTATACATTATACTAAAGTATAATGTATACAAGTAAAGCAAGTAAACCGTAAAGCAAGTAAAGCCTCGCAAGTAAAGCCATCTTTATCTGCTAATACACAACTATGAATGCGAGATAAATATTGTAAGAATATAAATATAAAAAATATTTGCAGTCGAGTTGGTCATTTCCATGTAAATTTCCCTGGAAGCCACTTTTATTCCGGAACCAAGCACATGGTGACTTCCCTAACGGAGTCTCTACATCGAGAAGTTCGAGGAATGGAACCAAAAAACGATATAAGAATTACGGTATATAGCAGCATCAAAATACTTTTATAATTCCGACAAATTACTGCTGTAGTTAAGGATAAAAAATTCCATGTCGCATCACGCATTATACACCTTCCTCCTGCTCCCGTTATCGGACTTTTCCATCATTCGGACAAGAATATTACCACACAAATCTTCGAGCGGATGACTAGCGTAGTACAAGAAAGTTATACAAATTTGCATAATGCTACGCTGAATTCGTCTTATAATATGTCAGGGTACACACTAAATTCCTCTTGTACATTAGTATTACAGTTTTGCGGCATTATTTTAGGATATTAGTCCGGGTATTGTGGCAACGGAAATTTTTCAGCGATCCATGGCCGACGTCCAAGATTTGTCGTCCGATCAGCCTTATTCGAAGCAACCGGAGTTTGAGAAACTGAGCCCAAAGGACATTGCCGATAGTGTTATATACGTCTTATCTGCGCCGCCGCACGTTAATGTTAAAACTCTAATTGTATGTGCAACACAGCAGCCGGAATTGTAGTGAAATTTATTTAAAGGCAAGAATACAGTAAATCTATAACGTCAGCAGGACTATTTGGTATGATTTTTATTGCGAACGTTTTTGGAATGAACGCTTTTCGTTGACCTTATCTTGGTTGTCAGCAAAATCTCCGTTGCATGTATTTTTTAACCCGATCATATGGTAAAATAAAGTCGTTCAGACTGCTACATATTAAGATGGTACTCGTACATAGCATGTTGACGCTTCAACTGGAATCAATAGCGAAGTGGCTTTCCCGTTGCAGATTGCAGTTGTACGTGTTCAATATTTCCATGTACTGTAGATTTTTCACTTCATACAAAATCACTACGGTTTCTTACGCTTTGGTACGCAAGAAAACTTTCCATCAATCCACCGCAAGGGCTATCCCGAATTTCCGGTCGCTGAAATTAAAAGGCAGGTTCATAACTGCGATATGCGGTACTGTTATCTTGTTGGATGTGTCTAAGAAACTGGACACATCCAACAAGATAACAGTACCGCATTAAAGTGCGTTAAGCAATTTCAACGCACTTTAATGCTTTTTTTTGCATTAGCAGCAGCCTTAATCCATGTATGTGAGACTCGCCGGAAATTGTGTATCGATATGAACCGGAAGTTGCACAATTGACACAATACTAACACGATGCAATTGCAATACGCGTCCATTATGATAGTCTATGACAAGTTACGACAGTCTACCCGTACAAGGCAAACGCCATCTCTTTCCCCTCCCTTTAGTACCGTTTATCTCTTTCCCCGGCTGCATCGCTGCCGTGTGTGAGCGCACACGTGACACATTTCATTCAGCTATTTCACATCCAAACCGGTTTTGCGGCTGCGGCAGATTACGCAACTGATCCTGTGCACAGATAAGAGCGCTGTGCCGCCTATGAAAAGGCTGAATCAAAGCTTCACGTGTGCGCTCACACACGGCAGCGATGCAGCCGGGGAAAGAGATAAACGGTACTAAAGAGAGGGAAAGAGATGCCGCTTGCCTTGTACTCATTTACTTTATCATCGCTATATGTTTTGTTATTTTATGATAAGTGGATTCTAGTGGATTCGTAATGGCTTTCTAATAGGATGAGTGTCCTGTTTGTCGTCATAGTTGGATCAGCATCTTAATGTCTTTTAAATATTTGAGGAAGTTTGTTGCTGTGTGGAGTCGGTCAGCCCCAAATATAAATCCCCACAAGGAACACTCGCCGGTTGTAACAACCTTTAATTTGTAACGCGCACAGCCCTGTGAGCAAACTGAGTAACATATACAAATACATAAATACAGTAAAATTTGCTTTTATATCTACCTATGCGCACTTGTACTTGATTACACAGTGCTTTTATCATAATATACGTATTTGAAATTGAAGTGTCCTTTTTTTGACAAATATTATTTCAATGTCGGTTATCGTACTGAACTTTGCTATCCGGTAGTGGAAACGGGATGCCATGTAATGATGAGTACTTCTATATTATATATATTAATATATATTATATATATATATATTAATATATAATATATATTAATATTAATACTGTAAGTGCACAGTGACAGCCGCTCGGTTTTATATTAGTCAAAAAACGCAACTACTTGTTAATTAAAAATATAAAATTGGAAAACAACCAGTTAACTGCAAAAAGCCGTGCTATCTTGTATGGTTTGCTGCTAAACCAATATTTCCTTCACTTCAACCTTCAAGAAACAGAAAAAAATGTGAACAGGGCTTTGCATTAAAGTGCTCTTATCAGTTTCATTGCACCTGGATTGCGCTAAAACGTTTTATGCAATCAAAATGCAATCAGTGGCGAACCTAGGCGGGTTTCGGAGGGGTCTAGAGAACTCATACCAAAAGGAGGAGTATTCTCTCGCCTTTTTGGCGACATCCGCCGTAAAATAATTTGCAGTGCACTCCCTCTTGCGAATTTTTTTTAGGTCCGAGCGACGGGGGGCATTAGCCCAGGAATCCCCACCCACCTTAATTTCGCCACTGATTGCTATCACAGGCTTAATAAATATAGCTCCGAATTGATACGATTCAGTAACCTTCACGTTGCGGCTACAATATGACTGGTTATGGAAGTTACGGCGCTCACTGGTTATTGAATCGCTGATATATACTAACAGCACCTAGTAAATAAAAAAGGACGTTCTCTGAACTATCTTTTGACTGACGCACAAATGAACTGAAAAATTTTGCCGCCTCACTTTTTTGAGTGGCTTAATCGTAGTTCGTCACCTGCTCGTGAACGTGGATAAACGTGGATAATTGGGTGCGACCGCAACGCAGGGAATGTGGATCGCTTCAAGTACAGTGGTAATCTATCTGCTTGAAGGAAGTTGCCGACAGGATCCTTAAGCTTGTACTAAAACTGGCTTACTTATCACGATTCAATACAACTGACACCATCCTACTTCCTCTTCCGGGAATACGAACCGCAAACAAATAAATACAGCATGCGGCCACATATTGCTGAAGCTGTATGATCGCAGTTTCTGTAGGATTTACATAGTAGCACATTCAACAAATTTTGCTGTTGGTACAGGTAATGCGGCTCTTTAATCGGAACGTACAGTTGAAGAGATCGTGATCAAAATTTATTTAATATTTTAAAATGTCCTGTTACTTAACATCATTCTGTTGTTTTAACCGTTTATTTGCATTTTACTATTCAACAGATTAACACTCTCCACGATTACTGACCGTCACTGATAACGTCGAATAATGGCAAACAACAGTTTCATCTTGCCCCTGAATTCCACCGTTTTCAAACCGATAGCGTCATTTCCGGCGCTGTACACGTGGTTCAGCGTCACCTTTCTTATTAGTTTTATTGGAGCATTCACCAGCATTCTCCTAATTATTATTGTTATGAAAGAAAATTCAAAAAAATTTGGCAGCAACGTCTTGATCTGCCATTTACTCATTCTGGATTTCCTGAATGTCGCCTTGTTTTCGCTGAGCGATCGAATCATTATTTTGCGCACGCAGTTCGGTATTATTGATGCCATTAATTGTCCAGCGGTTAATTTATTTCGGTCAGTCAACATCAGCGCCACCTACTATTCGGCCGCCATTCTCGCTGCTAACCGTTTTGTTGCCAGTTATTTCCCGCACCAATACAGGCGTGTCTTCACTCCCGCAAAAACCGCATTATTCGTCGCTGGTTGCTGGATCGTCCCGGTTGTTCTGGAAATTTTAGTGGTGCTAAACATTGCCGGTACATCACCACGGTTGTTCCCATTAGGTAACTGCGGCGTGAAACCCATCATCCAGTCGTTATTTTATGTCCTGACTGCCGTCGAGGTGTGGCTGCCTTTGGGCGTTCAGGGACTGGCGCACGTTTTACTAGCGATTAAATTAGCAACGAAAGCCAAGAACGACCAGACAAACACGGACGCAACCGTCAAAAAGCAACGCCACAGTAAACTGGCAAAGATATTGGTCGTCTCGTACATGTGGAATTTGATCTGTTTCCTCCCGATCCCGGTAATTCATACAGCCATGCCGGAACTGTTAACTGGTCGTTACATGCTGATGTTGAGCTTGAAAGCACTGGAACTGAGCGGTTCGGCAGGAACGCCGGTAAAATTATTCACATTTTTCAAACATCTTCTGCGCTGACAACATTTCTCTGTGCTTACAGGTTATTTTTATTCTTCTGGGGACACAGTACCAGATGCACTTGAGGAATATGATCCGTCGAGCGAGGGGTCGCACTAATAAGATATCGGTGGTCAGCGCGTTCCACGAAAGAACCAGCGCCACCCATCATCCGACCAAGCAAACACAAGCTTCGTTCTAATATCAATTTAGATTGTTCTTCTGTTCTTACGGGTATTTTCTTAGTATTATGTCTATCTGGGAACAGTTAATGGAGAATATTTTCAGGAAAAAATTTGCAGTATCGCAGGTACTTCTTTTCCTCCGTAAATGCTAGTGGTTATAGCAATTCCAATCATGTACGTAATGTAGCTGTGCGACAACGGTATGAAAGTCATCTGTTACACTAAGTTTAAGTTCTCCCTTCATACACATCTTTGGTGGATTTTCTACAAAAATTTGTTCAACGCCGACTTTTACTGAGCGTGTAATCAGTACAAAATAGTTAATAATTATCAAATATTTTATACCTACAAAGTTTTAATTTACAGTTATTTTACTTATACTTATGATTTTATGCTTGTTGATTCATTCTGAACACCAAATTTTTCTATCGTATTGCGATTGCTTAAATACATATTACGTACACTGAAAAAGCCGTTGCACTTTCCGATTGCTTTATTCGGTTATTTGGTTACCTGATTCGAAAATGAGTTGGGTTATACGTTATACGTAACAGCAATTCAATAATCACTGCATTATGGTAATTATGTGTGCTCTACAAACAAATTTCGCCACCCAGCGCAAAATCATTTTGCATTTAGTTGCTTGTACTGTCGGACAATTTTACGCCATTTGGGCTGCGCAGCTGGATTATTGTTAAGCACTTATAACACAGGGACCGGAAATGCAGTTCCTTCAGCAGCTTGCGGAATTCAGGCTCAGGTCTAACCGGTTACAAAACTTCAACGCGGCTCAGTTGCCCGGCAGTTGTTAGCAAGTACATATAAAATTAGCGCTGTGAATTAGCGTTTTCTTTTCACGTTAAGTGTGAAACACCTGGAGAACTGTGCCGTACAATTGTATTAAGTGGTTCGAATGAAATGAATTGCCTGCTCGCGAGGGTGGATTATGGGTTCCGCCTGCGATTTAAGGGATTTGCCCAATACAGCTTTGAGATCCTTTTACTCGTACTCTGTACTTTAAAAAATCCGTCTAAGCATGGACATACACTCTGTGCTTGGGAATTTAGGATTCAACGTACACTCTGTTAGCGACTCCGCTGAAGCTGGAAACCTTATAGTGAGGTGCAGCGCATGAATACACCTGTCAAAGCAGCAGTGTCACAATAAGCTAAAAAAAATAATAGGCACCTTCTTATTACAGTATATATAA